ACTTCAAACATTTATTATTAACTCTATCACATTTTATTACAATTGGGACATTTTACGTAATATATGCCCAGAACGAAAAATGACAATTATTATATTTGACCTCTTAATGAGTTTTAATTTCAAAGTAAGAAAACTTCTGCGACTTAATTAAATTGTACCTAAATTTGAGTTTCAATATGAGTTTGAAGCCACAATTTTTTTAAAAAGTACACAATCTAGCAAAATGTGTGACAACTTTACATTTTAAAAAGTGGACGACTAATAATAATAAGGTTATAAAGTGCCTTACAGAAGAGTATAACCATCATAAGAATTTAAAAAAATGCACAACTAATAATAACAAGGCCACAAAATGGTTTACAAAAGTGCACGACTAATAATAGAAGGCCACAAAGTGGCTTACAGAAGTTCGCAACCATTACATAACATATAAAACAATAATTATTGAAAAAATGCACAACAAATTATAATAAGGCAACAAAATGATTTGCAAAAGTTAACAACTACTATTGATAAAAACCATAAAATGGCTTCCAAAAGAGTACAACCATTATAAAGATTTGAAAAAAAAAAGTACTGGATTTTATGCACGATTAATAATAACAAAAGGCCACAATATGGCTTACAGAAGTTCACAACCATTACCTAACATAGAAAACAATAATTATTGCACGATTAATAATAACAAAAGGCCACAATATGGCTTACAGAAGTTCACAACCATTACCTAACATAGAAAACAATAATTATTAAAAAAGTGTAGAATTAATAATAACAAGGCTACAAACTGGCTACAAAAAATCACAACTACTATTAACAAAATGCCGCAAGTGGCTTACAAAAGAGTATAACCATTACAAGAATTTGAAAAAAAAAAAAAGTACTTTACTTTTAAAAGTGCACGATTAATAATAACAAAATTTCACTTAAAAGTGCACGATTAATAATAACAAAATTTCACAAAGTACCTTACAGAAATTCATAACCGTTATCTAACACATAAAACAATAACTATAAAAAAAGTGCACACTAATAATAACAAGGCTTCAAAATGATTTACAGAAGTACACGACTAATAATAAAAATGTCATAAAATGACTTGCAAAAGTTCACAATCGTTACCTAACATAGAAAACAATAACTATTGAAAAAGTGCACAACTAATAATAACAATACCACAAAATCGCTTATAGAAGTGCACGACTAATAATAAAAATATCACAAAAGTGGCTTACAGAAGTTTACAATCGTTAACCAATACACCCGCACTTTTAAAAACAAAACATGGTCATTTTCAAAACTTAATTAAGCTTAATATATATTTGTTCCTGACATCAATGGTTGTGGGCAAATTTATAAGGATAAAAGTAGACATATATTCATCAAACGTACATATAAGGGCTAACTCCGTATTTATGTGACAATTATTTTGACTTTTAATATCAGAACTTTAATTTTGTGGCTAAATTTATATAAAAGACCACTATTACTATAAAACGAAATAAGAAAGTTAGCTGATAACTTGTTATACATTAAATGCTGAGAATATGTGTCTACTACTTTCCTTGATTGTGGAGCTTCAATCTTAAAATAAACACATATACTCCAAGGGCATTTTAATCTTTTTAACTTAACTTGCATCCAAAGTTACCATTTACAGTAAAATTCTCTATATAAAAAATACAACAAAAAAGGAAATTTTCTCTAAATAAAGAGAATAGAGGGAGTATTTAATTTCTAGTCAAAACAGGAACAAAATCGAAATTGGTGGTTCCAAAACTGTTTTAGAAAACGCCTAAAAGCTGTTCGATTCGAGTTCCACTTTTTTTACTATCGGAATCGACAATTTTGAAATCGAAACCAATGATTTTGAAAACATGGTCATGCCTAGATTTAGCCGCTCTCTCTCCCTTTCTTCATTAAAAATTTTCTTCCCTTCTCTTCGGTTAAACACAAAAATCAAGTATGTAGATAAGGGGAGGGGCCCCTCTGATTATTTTTAGTTTTGTTACAAAATTTTTTTTTAAAATTAATTACATATCCTTGTCTATTTGGCATAAATCTATGCTATTTATGTTTCTGCTATTTTTATGATTTATTTTCATCTTGGGTGAAGTTTATGATCTTTCCATTTTGCGTAGAGTATTTGTTTTGTTTTATTTCGATAAGTGCAGTATGCAGAGATTTTTTAAATACATGATGATCTCTATTTTTTGGAGTTCGGCAGTACAATTTGTTCTTTCATTGAATTTAGTGGTTCAAATCCTTTATGTTCGTCATAAGCAATTAGTTCATGGATAATTAGACCATATATGGAAGATTCAGAGAGTTTATCTAGCCAATCACTTTGAAGATTTATTAATTTTTTCAAGTTCACATCCAATTTTCTTTAGAATTTCTTATTAGATCAGTGTACTATAATTATTTTAGTGATAATAATTTTATTCTATATCTAATCATCAGGAGAAAAATTATACCCCCTTATATTATTTGCATTGATTTATAAATATATATTTATAAAGACCGGTCATATGCGGTTTGTTACTTATACATTGGACGTACACTTGTTTACTCTTAAATAAATATCGTGAATTAAATTCTCATCGACCACATACTATGTATGAGCAGATTTCAAAATTAGATGGTAAAATTCATCATATTATATTGTATTATTACTCATTCAACTATCAATTAAAATTAAATTCATCTTTAATATTGAATATAATAAATTAAGCATACGTATTGACCTAACAAGTGACAACTGGTCTCAAGTTTTCGTTTGAATTTATTAGATTTATATATATAATTTAATATTCAAGACGGTCATAAGCAGTATTTTTTTTTTAAAGTATTGTCATAACCAGAAATTTAAGTAATATACTTACTCGGTTCCACTTTAATAGTTATAAATGAATATTTTACCTTATTTCATTTTAAATCCTCATTTAAGATTTTGAAAGTTTATTAATTATTTTTTTTCAAAGTTTATCTATATTTTATAGAAAACTTAATTGATGAGCTTTTAATTTTAAAAAAGACAATTTAAACATTCTGCCATACATTTTTAAAAAATCAATGCATTCTAATTATTTTTTTAATCCTTTTAAAAAAAAATCAAATGTTACTATTAAAGTGAAATGGATAAAGTAATATTTAATTCCAGCATGCACATTTTTTCGGTGCCACGTTCTAGATAATGTTGCTACTGGTCCATTAAAAATTAGAAAACTATCCTTCAATTTTATAACAAAAAGATGTAGAAAATTTGCTGCTAATGAATCAAACTTGCAATTCAACATTACAGTCAATACCTGATCTTTTTCTTATTATTTTTTTTTTCTTACAGAGAAAGAGTCAAATATCAATCTTATTATTATTATTTTTTTTTTTTGTGTGTGAGCTAACAAAAAGGACAAGTTTTAGACGTCAATATCTGTTAAAACTTAAAATAGAATACATAATTCTGTCTCCATCATTAAATATTTGTCACATTTGAAATTTTAAATTTTTAAAAAAATCATTAAATTTATCTAAATCACAATAGATTATTGAGTAAATTGACTATATTACTCTTAATTTAATATATCCAAACACCAAATTTTTTAGGAACAATAATTATCAATCATATATATATAATGGTAAATATGGAAAAAAATTATTGCCCTTTGAAACTATAAATGTGACTAATATTTTCAAATATAATATTTTCTGAAATATAACAAATATTTAGGATGAAGGTTGGAAGTTCATTTGATTATTATAAGTTGATTCCTTATAATGTCCCATTTGACATTTCTTTACAAGTGGATGACTATTCAATTTCCTACTTTACTAAAGTATACTAGTCATTGTCTCTTTCGATTTAATCCTTTAGATAAGTTTATTGTTAGATAGAAGGATTAAGCAGTATAACCAAGATAAAATTAATCGATCAGTTGTGATTTGATTGGTCTTTTTACTAGTGCAAGAAGTGCGAAGTTTTAAGTTTGACTTTTTATTTATAATAAGTGAATTCATTAGGGATTGACCATTTATTTGTAATTTACCACTTATTTGGAACAGTTTGAGGAATTCATTTAGAAATTCATATTTTTGTATTTGGAATGAAAAGAAAAAATGTATTTTAATTTTAGGACTTCAATTCTATGGAATTAAATATAACTACATCAAATTTCACAAAAATAAATGGAATTTCTAAATGAATTGAACAAAATTATGCAATCCAACTTTGTATGGCAAAACTGTCGTTCTCCTTTTACAAAGTCAATTTTTTAATTTTTCGCTTATTTAACTTATTTATTTTATAAAACTTGATCAAAACCATTTCAAAAATTTATTTTTTAGAAAAATATTTTCTTATTATTGTGTTTTTTATTTTATACTTTTAGCTTTTATTTTAATAATTTTAGCATTTTTTTACTATTGACGAGAGAGATTCAAATTAAACATACATTTATCACTAAATTAAATGCACTAATTTTATTAATATTATTTTTATTTTATATATTTAATTTAATAAAAACATAAAAAAATTATATAGCATAACATAAATATAATTGGTAATTATTATTTATTTTTGTGAAATTGCCATTTTAAGAATATTTTAGGAAACAAAAGGAAATGAATTTTCAATTATGAATTTAATAAATACATGATTATGTGAAATTCAATTGAATTACATATTATAAATTAATCATACCAAATATGAAATGAACTCCACGAGAATTCATTTATAAATGTAGAATTTATTCATTTATACCAAACCGAGAGTAAATGTATAATTTATTCACAAATAAGTTATATATTTTGAATTTATTTACATGAAACCAAGCTGAAAATTTTCATTAATGTAAAAAGAATGTCAACTAACAAGAATTTATAAATAACATGTAAAACCCAATTTAATCTGCCGTTGGCAAAATAGATTTGAGGACAATTAAATTCATTATTTATATATATAGTCATCGGATGTTCTAATTCATGCTTAGTCATCACAAATTACATACCGATGGCCTTCTCAAACCCAGCTTTTGCCCACGCTCTCTACTGTTCAGCAAATCCTGCAAAGAAAATCCCAAGAGCTTGTGCCAATAACCCCAACGACATGCCAATCTCCTCCTCTCAAGCATGGAGCAATATTCTGCAAAACCAATCCTTGGTATGTTTAATTATCTTCTCTACCTATAAATCATTCAAAAAATTTTTTCTGATAATCAGTGGAGTACTAACGTAAGGACACTATATATATGTGTGTGTGTGTATATATATATTTTTTTTCTTTTTCAAGGATAAAATGTGCAATAGAAGATTAAAGAAGCTGAAAGAAGCAAAAATTGAGCTTACCAAAGTTTCAGAAGAGGAAGATCATCTGTCAGTGAAAAGTTTAACAATGATCGATTCGATCCGACGCCTAGGCATTGAATATCATTTTCAAGATGAGATTAATGAAGTTTTAGAAAATCACTATAAGAAGATATCTACTGGTTATACCCATCCAGATGATGATCTATTTGAAGTTGCTCTTGGCTTTCGATTGTTAAGAGAGCAAGGTTACTATGTACCTCCAGGTCAGTTAATTTCAGTAAATATTGTTTAAAGTTTATCATATTTTATTTATAATATCTACTGCAGATTTATTTAAAAAATTCAAGAACAAGGATGGAAAGTTCAGACAAGAATTAGGTGAAGACATCAAGGGACTAATAGAATTATACGAAGCATCTCAATTAAGCATTCAAGGTGAAGATATTCTTGATGAAGCTCAAGATTTTAGTGGTCATCTTCTTACTGCATCAACATTGCATCTTGATGATTATGAAGCTGGAATTGTTTTAAATACATTGAAGAATCCATACCACAAGACCTTAGCAAGGTCAATGTTTAAAAACAATTTAAATAATTTCAAATTAAGCAGAAACAAATCTAAAGATGTCTTTATGGAACTTGCCAAGTTAGATTTCAACATGCTTCAATCCTTTCATCGAGATGAAATTATTCATATTTCCAAGTAAGTTCAATTTGCAAGTATTTTTGGGTAAAGTTAATTAGGATTATTGTTTCTTAAAACTTAATTTTGTAACTGAAGATGGTGGAGAAACGACATTGGATTTGCAACCGAGATGAAGTTTACTACAGGCCAACCACTTGAATGGCTCTCATGGCCCTTGACAAGCCTTACAAATCCAAGCTTATCAGCACAAAGAGTCGAGCTAGCAAAAGTCCTTTCTCTTTTCCACTTTATACAAGACATTTTCCATTTTTATGGGTCTAATATCGACCGACTTACTCATTTCGTGCAAGCCATTAATAGGTAAGGATACATTCAAAATTAATCCTAGTTCACATAACTCGGTGCAGAACCTCGCATCTCCATCTAGTATATTCAAGATTATAATAACAAGTGTAGGAATAATTTATTTTCATCACCTGCAGGTGGGACATTGGCGCTGCAAATGACTTAGCAGAGTGTATGAAGATGTGTCTAAAGGTTCTTTACGACATTACTGATGAAATTGCTTACAAGACATACAGAGAGTATGGATATAACCCAAAACGCTCATTGAAAAAAGCGGTATATATGCAATTTTTTTATTTTTACTCAAAGGTTATTAACATGAATGATCTAATACAATTGATATGCTTATTAATCTACAGTGGATAAAACTGTGCAATGCATTTCTAGGAGAAGCGAAATGGGCAGCTGTTGGGCAGTTGCCAAAGGCTGAGTACTATCTAAAGATTGCAAATTTTACATCAGCAGTAAATGTGGTGTTAGTTCACATCTTTTTTCTCTTGGGTGAGGCTTTAACAATGGAAACAATAAATCTTGTTGATGATGATCCTGCCGTTATATCTTCCGTGGCCTCCATTTTTCGTCTCTCCCATGGCTTAAATAATACCAAGGTAATTAATTAGTATATAATACACTTTAGTTCTTGAGCCATTACATAATTATGGCTAAAACACTTTATTCTTTAGACAAGTTTTAAAATTTTCTTTGGAGTTGGTTTAAGAATTGACAATTATAATTATAGTCTGCTGATAAGTGCATATAAACAATCTGATAATAGATCATAATATAATATTTAACTATGTATGGTTGAATTTTAAAATAGGATGAGGATGGAATTAGCGGGTTTACATACAAGAAATGCTACATGAGGCAATATCCATTGTCTTCTTTCCAAGAAGCTAAAAAGCATTCTATGGAGATGATTTCAGATGCATGGAAGGAACTGAACAAGCAATGTCTCTCTCCAAATCCATTTTCACCATCTTTCATTAGGGCTGCTCTTAATTGTGCAAGATTGGCTTCTTTAATTTATGGCTTTAATGACAATCATAATCTCCCAAGGCTCCAAGAAAACATCAAGTCTCTAATCTTTGAGAGGATTGCAATTTAAGTGGTTATCACCAAATAGGGGGCAATTCTAATAGTTTTTGTACATATAATTGTATCATATTAAAAATAATTTATAATAACAATCTTCCAATCACATTTCACTAAAAGAGGGAAAAATAAATTGTAAATAAGTCTTGTCTCCACTTATTGTATATATTTGTTGAATATAAAATTAATTTAATGGAGCAAACAAAAGTATAAATATATTTCTAAAGAAATAAATAATTCTTTTATTTAAAATACCTTTTATATGTTACTTAATGTATAAGATAATTGCATATATTTAATCAAAGACTAATCTTCCTAAATTACTTAAATTTCCCAAAATATATATATGATATCATTTGACAAAGGTCAGCTCCATTCAAATAAATAAATAAGTTCACGAATAGTGGTTTCGTCGCAATTAAGGCTCCTCACTCCTCCTTACATGTGTGTTTAGCAAGAATCGAATTAAAGAGCTTTTTCCACATACTCATTCTGCACTATCAATTGAGACAAAACCGGTAGATGTCTTTCTTTAATTATTATTTAATGTATTAGCATAAATTTGCTGACAACAGAATATATATATATATAAGTGCCAAATATCCATTGTCTTTCTGTTCCCAAAGAAGCTAAGTAAAAGAGCATGTCTATTGTGAGAATGATTTCAGATGCAAAAATGTGGGAACCGAACAATTGCAATGTACTACTCTCCAAAGTCCATTTTCACACATCTTTCATTAGGAGCTGCTTCCGCTTAATTGTGGCAAGATTGGCTTTTACTTTAATTTATGGCTTGTAAGACTGGGTAACAATCATATTATCTCTCCATATGGCTCCAAAGACTATCATAGTCACTAATCATTTCGAGAGGAATGCTCAATTTGAAGTGGTTATCACCGAAGAGTAGGGGGCAATTCTAATAGGTTTTTGTGACATAGATAAATTGTATCAATATTAGAATATAAATTTATAATAAACTATCTTCCATATCAACATTTTCACTAAAAAGAGGAAAAAAATAAATTGTAAATTATAGTTCTTTGTCTCCACCTGTATTGTATATATTCTGTTGGAATATAAATTAAATTTAATGGACGTCATAACTAAAAAGTATATATAATATATTTCTTAAAAGAAATATAATTCTTTTATTTAAATAGCTTTTATGATGTTAACTCTATATGTATAAGATAATTGGGCATATTTTAATCAACAAGAACTAATCTTCCTAAAAATTATGGCCTGTAAATTTCCAAAAATATTATTTATATGGAATAATCATATTGAATCAAAGGAGTCAGCTTCCATTTCAATATTAATTATAATAATGTTCATTTGAATATTGGCGTGGTTTCGCTCGCAATTAAGGCTCCTCACTCCTCTCCTTAACCTCATGTTGTGTTTAGCAAGAATCGAATTAAAAGAGAGCTTTAATTTCCCACAGTACTCATCTCCTTGTCACTAAATCAATGTGAGACAAAAACTCGGGTTATATGATGTCTTTTTCTTTCATTATTATTTAATTGTATTAGCATAAAATTTGCCCTTGCACAACTAGAATATATAATATATGTTTATTATTATATTTATATTATTTGATATGATTAATTATATTATTAAGTATATATAATATTATATATATAATATTATATATATCTATATGTATTAAATAGTGATATAATTCTATTCACCGGAGTCAAATGGTTGAAATATATAATTATTTTTTATATATATCTCACCGAGTCAAATGTTGATATAAATATTTTTTGTATAAACTAAATAATATTTGTCAGGTTCTTATTTTAAAACTACTTAAATCATCTGTCAATCCATTATCTGACGATTTGTCTAAAATAAATAATTGTTTAGCCGCCAATAATCTGACGGCGGCAACTACAAGTTGTTTATAATTTAGATGATTCTTATTTTAAAGTGATTCAATGTATGCAAGATAGTGGTTCTCATCAATTCAAGCAATCAATTTTTTTTAATATATATGTAACACAATTATAACTGAATTATATATTGCCTTTGATTTTAATTATGCCTAATTTGATACTATAGTAGTTTGTCTTTTAAACCAAGCCTGTTGCTGATTTTTTTTTTTTTTTTTTACTTTTTTTTTTTTTTTTCCCTTCTGTTTGTATGTTGTGTTTTTCTTAATTGATCATGGAAGTACTTATGTATGTTGGTCTTCTCAAACCTGCGTTATATGCTATTTGTAGTCGTCAATTTTACTTATTGCAAGTAAATGGAATTTAATTTAATAATTTTTATTAATTTATGTTTTCATTAATTTTTATTGTAATTTATAATATTATGAATAATTTATAGTACAAAATATTTAAAAGCGTTCATAAAATAAAAAAAAAAACATTTTATGAAATGATGAAATAAAAAATTCAATAATTAAATAATTCGTCAAGAAAATAATGATATAAAATATTATTATAACAATCAAATGTTCATGAAATAAAATTACTTATCAACTAATTTAAATTTTCTTATAATAATTTAAAATTAATACACTTAATATTTTCATATATAATATAATATCAAAAACTATCTGTATAATAAAATTATGAAAAAATAATATTAGCTATTATAATAATTACTATATTAATCATTGTTTTAGAGCGGTGTTTATAATTTTGGTATTTCTTTTATTTTCGATAAAATTTATGAGCATATAATTAATAATATAACATTATACATAATTTATATTTTATATATATCTCTATTGAGATTTATTTTCTATTTTATATTCGATGATAGATTTTATAATATATTTCTTAATAAATAATAATAAATAATATTTATTTTTTATAAAATAAGTTACTTGGAGGAAATAATTAAAATCAATTAAATTAAAAATAATAATTAAACATACTTGATTCATCCTAGATTAATATTATTATGACAATGACTAATATCTAAACTCAATTTAAGGTTGTACTCGGCAACAATTTTTTAAACAGCTTTTAGCTTTTTGATTAGTCAAAACGCTAAACGTTACTTTTTATAGTATTCAATAATATAGTGTTTGAACTAGCTTCTAAAGATTAAGATAATATTCTACAAAAAGTTAATTTATGTAACGACGTTTCATGAAATCTACTTAGGGTTTGTTCGGCAAAATTAATTGTTTTGATAGTTGTTAGCTGTTTTAGTAGTGTTTAGCTGTTAGATATTTTAATAGCTTTTAAAAAAACGTTAAAGCTAAACATTACATAGGATAAGTTTTTATAAAAACTACCTTAATCTCCAAAAGCTAATTCAAAAGCTATGTTATCGAATATTATAAAAAATAGCGTTTAACATTCTGATCTAAAAGCTACTTAAGAAGCTGTTGTCGAACACAAACTCAAACAAGTACCAATTAGATGCTACTATAACTAACAACTTATCAAAATAACTAATTTTGATGAACATATTCTAAAACTTAATTAGAAATTTATAAATAAAAAAGTAATAAATACAAAATTAAATCACAGGCTATCAAGGTTTTAGTAACCAAACCGGTCATTAAATCAGTGAAGAAAGAAGTTCATTGAGCTAAAGGATTTGATCGAGTTCAATACGGTTTAACCGAATATTGATATAATATTTTTAAATATATTTTGCAGATATAAATAACAATATAAAATTTATAAGTACTAAATACTTCTTTTTGAAAAAGGTATATATAATATTATCCTTTTAACTTAAGCTGTTAAATCCATTTCAATTTTTTTTTTTTTTGGTTTTTTATTTTTCTTAAATACAATGTTCGTGCCAAAGGGAAAAGGAAAAAAAAAAAAAAAAAAAATGCCAAAGGAAAAGGAAAAAAAAAAAAAAAAAAAAAAAGGATAAAGAGTGAGGAGCAAACAACGAAAAAAAAAAAAAAAAAAAAGGAATAAAAGAGTGAGGGAGCAACATCGCAAGATAAAACAAACGCTATTTAACAATAACTTTTTAAGTTGTTTTTAGTGTTTTGATTGATAAAAAATGTTATTTTAGTGTTTGTTAATATTGCGTTTGAACAAGCTTTTAGGATTAATATAGTATTTTGTAAAAAATTAATTCATATAATATTTAACTTTTAGCGTTTTATGAAAAGCTACTAAAACAGCCACTAAAATAGCTACCAAAACAGCTACCAAAATAGTTAATTTTGCCGATCAGACTCAAAGTTTGGCTGGTAAACACAATAATTAAAAAGAAAAAGGAAAAAGCCCAAGTAAATATAAACTTGAAAGACTGGATTTTCGTTTTTCCCTTTGCTAACCAGCAAATGGTACTGTGAAAGAAGGGATGCTCTCTAATGCTCTTCGCAAACGTTCTTCATTAAAATTGGTTTCAATTCTTTTGTCTTTCTCAAGAACTGAATTAAATGTCTACGCATAAGAACATGTAATTGTATTATTCCATCCATTCCTAAATATTTTATCCATTTTCACTGGTTTTAGCCTATCCTTATCTAGTTTTTTAGCCTTCAGTCTTAAATATCAAATGAGACCGGACTACGGTCTTATTCTGATTAAACCAGTCAAATCGATAAACTCTATTTGATTCTCACAACTATGCGAATTATATAATATAACGAATATGAATACAAACAATATACAACGTATTTTTTTAAATAGTAATAAAGATTAAAGTCAAATGTATAGAATATAATTCACTAAACATACTTAACATTATCTTGAAAGATAATATATCATCCCTAAAAAATTTTTAATATTGTGTCCAAATATTTCTAAAAGAATAAGAGAAAATTTATGAGAATGAAAGATTATTTTGCGAATTTTTGAAATTTTTACAAAATTAGAAATTAAGTATGGTAGTTTCAGGTTTTGATAATGCGTTAGCTCTTGGTTGTGGTATTGACCAGGGCGTCCAATCAGTTGGGTAGAGCTAGAAGTTTACCTTCTTTTACTCTTTCAAATATATAAATAAAATGAATCCTAAAATAGGTCATAATGAACCAATCGAAATAGATCATTCAAATGAATATGTCATCACTTTCTCCAATCTTTTGGCTATCATTGAAGCTATAGATTGAATTTTTTAGTGTTTCAAGTTGCATTGAAAACTATATAT